GGTATGATTGGTGGGAGGGGGGGAAGGAGGTGGTAAACAAGGGGTCGGGGGGCTGATTTGGTTGGGTTTTGGTTGGATTTCTTATTTGGCAGAATCATTGTGAAGAGGAGGCAGTCTTCTTAGAAATCATGGTTGTGGAGGTAAAACAATTGTGGAGAGGGAAATATTTCTCAGAGATCAGCTGCAGGTCCTTGACCTGTTGGAGGGCAAGGCTAGGTGTTATTCCAGGCTTCTCCAGGACTTTCAGGGCTTGTCTCATGGGCTCTTGGTACTCTGAGGCCACTGAAAGGTTTGCTGTGATTTTTTTCTGAAGTTATTTCCTATCAGCGAGGACCAAAACGAACAAATGATTCATCGTGTCTGAAATGGAAAAGAAAAAAGAGATGCTGTGGTCTTTTCCTGGAAGTTTTGTTTTTCTTGTTCTGCTGCATTCCTAAACCCTGGCATAGAGACTTCTCAAGGATTCTCTGCTGCTGAACAGAGGGGCCGTGGCTCTAGTCCAAACCTGCCTTACTTGGGAGTGGGGTGGCTTTTCTGTGATCATGACAAAGCTGGAATTCACACAATGCTGAAGAAATGCAAAAGAGACTTTTTCTTAATTGCCTGCAAAAATAACACTTAATTGGGGGTGGTTTTTTTTGCATTTCTTTTTAGATCAAATGGTGCCTTGTCTAACCTCTGAATCAATAATAAAATAACCCCTTTACATTTGTATCTGGTGCTGTGTCCTCTTTGACCTGCAGACAGTGTGGAGGATGAGGAGGCAGATGACAGCATCAACTAACAATTGAGCTGGGTGGATCCTGGGGCCTGATCCTATCTCAAGGATGTTCTGTGCAGCTGGGAATGTGGCTTGTAATTCCTTTTATCTCTTCTCCTTGCTGAGTGTGTCCAATGCTTTAGATCACCATAGCAATGGTGGTTTTTTGCTGCTTCTCTCTCTTCCTGTGTGACGCTGAAAGCATCGAGCCCCTGTGTATCCTCTCTGTCCAGAGCTCCTTGCAGTGTTTTAACTGATGTAGTCCCTGTTTTTCCTTCTCCCTTTGAATCTCCAGTGTGTGGAGGAGCTGATGTTACTTCCTTCTCTCCTCCTGCAGCAACTGGAAGCCACCATTGTGTCTTCTGTTTCTGTCTTTCATACTTGGCTGCATCCCTCCCTCCCTCCCTCCCTCTAAATTCACAGGGAAAAATCTGTCCTAATGCAGGGAACGAGAGCATTTCCTGGCCTCCCTTTCTCCTGCCTCCACAGGGATTCTGACCCTCTGGAGTGTTCCAGAGGAGGCTGTTCCTGATGGACTGATGGAGGTTTGTTGTTTATCCACGGTTCTTGCAGCCCTGCTTGTGTTCAGGCAGCAGAAAGGGTTGGGCTGCATGTACCCATTTCCTGCAGAAATTACTGGTTTTCCAGCATAATTGGGCTCTCCTGCTCCTCCGCCATTCTGTCTCTGTGCTCAGGTGTGTTCATTACCTCTCTGTACCTCCCATTACCATTCCTGTGCCTCTCTGGCCTTTGTGGTGTTCTTTCCTTGTTCCTTTTGATGGTGGATGTTAAACTGTGCTCTTCCTCCTTCTCCGGGATTGTGTCCTGCTCCTTGCCTGCTGCTGTTTTAAGAACCTGTTCTGCCTGCTTCTCCTGGCTTTCTGGTCTGTGGGATGGAGGAGTCTTGCCTCCTCTGAGCTGGGCTGTCTCTGTTTGATCCTCACCTGAGTGTGGAGCGTGAAATGGATTGTTGGGGAGCTGTGGGGGGGAGGCTGCAGTGGGGAGTCTGTGAGCTCAAGCCTGGATCCTCTGGAGCTGGATCTGTTCTGTGACCTGTCTCTCTCATGCTGACCTTGAATGTTTTCCACAGCACACGATGCTCTGCAGGTGCTGTAAAATCCTTCTGCTCAACCATTTCGTTCCAGCAAGCTGCTTATCAGGCACTCTTTTGAAAACTGTGTTCATATTTCATACACACAATTATTCAGCAACTATAAAAGGGGAAAATTCCTATTTATAGCACAAGGACCAGCATCAAATAGGACACTGAATTCTCACTGATAGAGGAAGTGACCTGTTCTCTAATGCAGCAATATTTCTGCTGAAAAGAAACAGCATCTTGAATGGGGGGAGGGATGAAAGCCCTGGGCCATCTCTTTCCATTAAAAATGTGCTGCAGTCCTAAAAATGTATCTGCCCTTCTCCCTTCCCAATGAAACCATTGGCGACAGGCATTGCAGGAAAACCTTTCACTGTGGGTTTGTGGTTAGGGGTAATGAGCCTACCGACTCCTGATGGTCTGCTTTGGAGCTGGTCTTGAGTTTCTGATCAATAACCTGATCTCTGACCTTGATGTGGGGGCGAGGAGAAGCCACTCCAAAGATGTCTGTGGGGAGTTTGTGCCATCACGATGCTCATGTGCACAGCCCTGAAGGAGCGAGCGCGTGGGGCTGAGGAACAAAGAAGTGCCTGGGAGCGAGGAATGGAGGGAGTGGGAAGGTGGGAAGCGCTCAGGGGACACGGGTGGAACTGCTGTGGGTAAGGTGAGAGCCTGTTCGCTCTGAGCCTGTTTCCCCTGGCTGCCTCTGCTCTCCCTTCCAGGCGTGTTGAGCCACAAGGCCATCACCGGCCGCTCCCTGCTGCTGTCCCCTGCTGTCGCCCCGTCCTTCCCGCGGTCTGTTTGGGAAGAGCTGCAGTGGGTGATACCAAGCGAGGCCCTGGAAGGTGGATGAGCAGAGGATGGGATTCCCCTGCTGTCGCTGTGGCAACGCTGGGCAGCGAAGCAGCAGCAGCAGCAGCAGCAGCGGGATGCGATGGGCGGCTGCGTGGCGTGGAGGGTGCGCTGGGGAGGCTGCGGGGGCCGGGCTGCGCTGACATCACGCGGGGAGGTGGCGCAGAGGGAAGGGGAGTGGGAAAGGGAGAGCGGGGAGACTGCGGAGGGGAGAGCGCGGCACCGGGAGTGGGCTCCGGGGACAGGTAAGGGATGCCGCGGGGCAGGGGGGAGCTCCGCGAGCTGCTGTGGGATCAGCGCCGGCCCCGGCATCTCTCGGGGTGATGCGGTGCTGGGGGATGGCTCCTGGGAATATTATACAATGCCTGAACAGCCTGGCACAGCAGGGCTTGGCTGTGGGACAGGGAGAGCAGGTCAGAGTCCAGCTGGCTGGTGCAGAAAGTGGTGCAGATGCTTCCCCCCAGGAGGGCAGTGTGTGTGTCACTGGTGCTGTGCTGGGAAGAGCCAGGAGTACCTGCACTTCCAGAACAGGATAAGATAACAGGATAAAGGGACTGGAGAGCAGCCCTGGTCCCTGGCTGGAGAAGGGGAGCAGAGTTCTCCCTAGGGATTAGAGCATGGATCATTGATGAAATGGATCAGAAGTTTGAGACTCCATCCCCTGAGCTGCTTCTATCTCAGAGGAGACAGCAGAGCTGGTGCACTGGGACCGAGCCCAGCAGCGCGTTTGTGGTGGGAATCCTAAACTGCACATCCCCAGCACTCCCAACGCCTGTGCAGCACCAATAGTTCTGGGGAAGGCAGCCAGGTGCACGGGTACTGCCAGCAGCTCTCTGGATGTGGATCCTGGGGATCTGCAGACCTGAAAGGCAAAATAACAAAGTCCTTGAAGCCTCTCTGGATGTCGTGTTGCCTTTTAGCACGAGGGTTGCATAACGGGATCTGTTTTGTTTGCAGAGGGAGCAAGGGTGATGGTCACCTCTGCCCTGCAGCAGCTCAGCAGTACCTGTGTGCTGTGCTGGCCCCTGGTCCTGGGGGGGAACTTCATCTTTTTTCTTAATCCAAGAGTTGGGCTCGTTCCTTGCTGCTTGTGGGCTCCCAGCTCCCATCCCACAGCAGCGGGGTGTAGGGACTCTACACCCACACTCAGGCTACGCAGCCTTAGCAAACTGGAAAATGAGTTTGTGAGCACCCCACTCGTGTGTGCTGAGCTGATTATGGCCTGTCAAGATTCTCAGTGTGTCTCTGACTGAGGAAAACACATCTGGGGTCAAAAGGCCAGTGTTGGTGACCCCTGTGGGTGTCAGAAATCAGTACAAGGATGGAATAGAAGAGGCACAAAGTAGAAACCTTGCTTGAAATCCAAGAACAGGGAGAGGCCAATGCTCCTGTCACAACTGTTTTGTTGAACCAGCACATTTCCTGAGGCTTTTAAAGACTGGGGGCCATGACCCAGTGGGGCCATGGAGAAATAAATGCAGCCAGGAGTGCTTGAGAGCGCAATTCCAATAAGAAGCATAAATATGCTTTAATTAGGGAAGTGATTGCTGTGTGATGCACAATCCTTCCCCACCAAGGCACAGATGCTAGGTCTACTGGGACCACTTGGGAGTGGCCCAGGTGGCCATGCTGCTGCTTATGGGATGGGAATTGCCAACAGCAACAGCTTGTGCTGCTCTGTCGGGCTTCTCTGGGAGCAAGGGGTGGGAGGCCCAGGCTTGGAGGGTGACAGGCAGTGCTGTCACCCAGGTGCCTGTGGGGCCAGCTGCATTCCAAGGCTCTGGCATGGGCAGGCAGGGAGGGGAGGGCCCGTCAGCTGCTCCGTGCCAGCCCTCAGCTCTGCTCAGGGCAGCTGTGCTGGGAGGGAGCCAGCCCGGGATGGGCCCCAGCACTCCAAGTGGGACCTCACTGGGCACAGCCTGATCCAGGCTCCCAGGGCCAGTTTGGGAAGGGTGCAGGGAGGAGTTAACGCTGCTGTTCTGCAGTTTCATCCCTGAGGTTGTGGTCATGCATGACCAGCAGCGGGACTGCTTCAAAGTCATGTTCCAACTTGATTTTTTTCAAGGTTATTCAAAATTCTGTGCAAGAATGGCACCAGGACCTCTCACAAACAGAAAGGCCAAGTCACCCCCTCCTAGTCCTTGACCTTCTCCATGGCTCAGCTGGCTCTCCTTGCTTTCCCCCATACTTGCCTACATTGCAAAAGAGATGATCATGTGAATATTACAAAGCCTGGCATCTGCACATAAGCTGCAGCAGCTGAGGCTCTGACATGATCCCAGTACCTTGGTGTGACCCTGTCCCCACAGCCATGCTCTGTTACCTGTGTGTTCAGCCCCCACCAGAAGCTGTCACTGCCAGGCACACAATAAGACAGAAATCCAATAACTGGGAACTCGTGCTCCCTCCTGGGAAAAGTGCTATGGATCTGCGAGCCTCTGCAGAGACCCGAAGCATCAGGAGGAGCTGCCTTTGTGCCAGTGTCCAGAGAAGACCCTGGGAGCTGAGCCAGATCCTGTGAGACATTTTAATCCTTCCTATTTCACAGTCTATCTTGGCCACAACCCTGCTGCAGTGAACATTTTCCCCCCTTCCTTTGTCAGGGACACTCACAGGCACCTACCTTGTGTTTGGTTTCACTCCTTATCTGGTGCCACTGGGAGCAGGCAGGGCAGCAGCACAGCAAGGAGAGTCAAGGAGAGTGGGAATACACATTCCTGCTATTGCCTGGCCACCCTGGAGTCCCCTCAATCCTCTCCCTAAAGCCAGGCTGAAATTTATTTCTGCTGAAGTAGCTGTTTGTTAAATAGTTGAGGTTACTTGAGTAATCAATAGTTCTCTGGTTCCCAACAGAAATATTATCCCTTTGGCCAAATCAGCTTTTCTATCTTTGCTATAAACCTGCTCCTGACTCTCAGCTCTCAAAGGATCGAGGCACATTCCTGATTTACCTGCACAGAGCCCCACTCCTTTCCTACTGCCAGCACCAACCTTTCTCTCTGAGGTTAAGCCATAAGGACTGGAAGCACACAGAGAAACTACTGGAGTCATTGGACTCTTCAGTCTCAGCCCTTCTCTTGGCCCTACCCCAACAGCTCCTTCTCTGTGCTTGCTTCTCTAAGGAGAGAGGTGATGGGATCCTCGTGGCCAAGGGCATTGCTGACAGAACTCCCAGTCCATGGACTCCAAGACAACTTAGCTCAGCTGCTGCCAGCTGAAGAAAAATTGTTCCCATCCCACAGCAGGAGCTGTATCCCAGAGAAGCAGGGATGGAAGACCAGGCGCCCATAGTGAAGTTCCATGGCTGCACATAAATTTTCCTTGCACACAGGCAAAGGCACCGACTCCCAGGAGCTGGATTTCTGCTTCCACTCCAGCAGCCAAAGGCTGGGATGTGGCTCTGGGCTCAAATTTCCTGTGACTGAAGGAGGCCACGAGGTTTGTTCTGCTGCTGGGGCAGTGGAAACAGCCTTGCTGTGCATTGTGAGCATCTCTGCACATCTCTGTTCTTTCCAAACCAGAAAAGGTCACAGAGACCCAAGAGAAACCCACTTCCCTCCTTCACTGAACTCCTTCTGCCTCGCACATGCTTTTGTTGCCATCCCTTGCTTGCCAAATGCAGGAACAAACACTGGGGTTTGGCAGGGCTCAGAGTCTTGGCGTGTCGGATGGGAAAGAGGCATTCTTGGTCCTCAGCCCGGGGACAGGGCTCTGCTCCATGTCCACTGCCAGATTTTCCAGCTGCGATTTTGCTGCTCATCCCATGCTGAGGGTGCCATTCTGGGGCTAAGGAGCACCCCTGGGTGCTGGGCTATGAATCCTGCAGGAGATCCATGGAAGGGGGGAGGGAAGAGCTGGAGCAGGACCCAGAGCTACGTGAACACCTGCATGCTGCTGCGGCTGAGCTTCACATCCAGGGGAAGTGCAGGAGCCGGCGCTGCCCTGAGAGGCTTTTCCCAAAGAATGCCTGATTCCAGGGGAGCAGGGAAAGGCAGAGGGAGGCCATGCAAAGCCAGGCTGTCTCTGCTCTGGTTAAATAGGGCTGTTTTTGCTGACAGCTCCTCCTGAGAGACTGCAGGGAAGGCTCATGTAACTCAGGGGCAGCTGAGAAGCTTTTGGCAGCTACCGCTGTTTCAGTGTCAGGCACTGAACTTTTCCTGGTGCTCAGGGGAAAAGGGGTGGCAGCCTGGATCAGAGATGGCAGGGCTGGGCGATGAGAGGCTGATGCCTCCCTGTTAGAAGGATGCTCTGGAGCAACAGCAGGGCCTGATTTCAGAGAAGCTTTTGAGGTCTCAGTGCACACTGATCGCCCCAGAAAACTCCTACTCAATTTTCTGCTGTGCACAGCCCAGCCTGAGGCAGCACAGGGGGCACTTTGCTCAATCACTGGTTTAGACAGCCCACAAGAGAGGGATGTTACAAGCCCCAGAGAGGGATGAGTGTTTCTCATGGGGGTGAAGGGCTGAGGGAGAGAAGGGAGGGAGTAGAAGAATTTTCTGATCGGGGTAAAGGTGGGTTGTGCTTGAAGTTAGAGAGAATGGGCTTGTGGTTATGGCATTAGGTTGGGGGAAGGAAGGCATGGGTCAGCAGCAAAACCCAGCAGAACAAACCCCATTTGCCTTTCCATGTCAGCCCAGGAATGAAGGACAGACTACAGAAGGACAAACTACAGCTCCCCTCTCCCTTTGCCCATCTTGTTCTGCTGCAGAGAACAGAGCACAGGGGGAACAGCCCTGGACTGAGCTGGGGGCAGGGCCCTGGCAGACAAGGGTCAGACTGGGGAAAGATCTCAGCTGAGACAAGGGAACCCTGAGCAAGCACATGTTCAGAGTGAGAGTCTCATACATTCCCCACCTGGTTAATGCTGGCTCAGCCCTCTGGAAAAATGACACACGTTTTCCTTGCTGCGGGGCCAGGGCGCTGTGCTGGGAGCTCTCTCTGCTCTCCCAGCCTGCCTGCAGGCTAGAGGTGCTGCTGGCAGGGTCCAGAGTCACTGTTCTTTCCCCTTTTCACAGCTGTTGCTGGTTATGAAAATGGGAATGTTCCCCAGGCAGTTCTCAGCAGGAACTGCCCTTTCCAGGGCTGACCGCACGGGCTCTTTCTTCCTCTTCCCACCTCCTGACAGCAGTCACAGCTTTGGGTACATTCTAGTCTTGGCAAAGCACTGCCCTTCCCTGCTCCTCTTCCTCACATGACACACAGGAGAGAGAGGCTGTGGTCTGTGGAAGGGGAATGTTTGTTCCTGGACTAAGATCAATACAATTCTTGAGCCAGTTCTCCTCCCAAAGCTCAAAGAGAGAAAGAAGAAAAGTTGGGATCAGTCTTGTGCAGTGGGGATTTACATCCCAAACTCTCAGTCTAGCACAGAGATCCTGACAGCAGCTCTCCTTTTCCCAGTGCAGGATGGGGGGCACAGCTTGCAGGAACACCAAGGTATGTTGTGGAAAGTCATTGTTTCTTGTCACATCTGATGCAGAGTGTTCACAGCACAAAGGAACACTGGGCAAAGCTTAGGGAAGGCGGGAAGGAGACAGCAGGGCTTGCTGCTGCTGTAAGCTGAGGGTACAGAGCTCAGCAGAGGGGTAAAACACCTCTGCAGGCAGCAAGACCGTGCAGGAGTTACCACAGATTTCAGGGTAGGAAACCCCAGGGTTCAGAGCTTAAGCCAGTTCCTAGGAGAAAAGAGCAGGACTAGCAGGAAAGGAGAATGACTCCAGGCCAGCTTTCTGGCAGAGCTGGGCACTCAGAGGACACTGACGGCAGAGAAGGGGGTGGATTTGGGCCACATCCTCGCCAGGAGCTTGGGAGTTCTTTGGAAAACCCAAATAAAGCAACTGAGCTAACTCAGAAAGAAGTGGTCTGGCTAAGGCCAAGGTCAGTCTGAATAGTTCCTTCCACTGTCTCTTTCGCTTTCATGCGGTGAGGCAGGACGCTGAAAATTCTCTGGCTGATTTTGGGAGTCCAGAGGGGGGTGAGCAGTGTTCATCCTGGTTCTGAGGAACAGATGAGTGTCTTAGCACCCAGCCCTGCACTCAGCTCCCTCCTGACTCCTTAGCACACAGACACAGAATTTCCTGGCTTTTTGTTTCAGAACTCAGGGAAAATTCCTGCCACCAGCACTGAGTTAAATTAAAAGTTGGTAAATTCAGGAGGCTTCTTGCAGCAAGGCACTAACCTTTGGAATTGCCTCAAGAGTTGGTAAAGTCAAATAATCAGTGGCTTGGAAAACCCTGATGGTTTTATGACCTTTCACAATGTCTGTACTTCTGTACCCAGGCAAGGGTCACCACACTGCTCCAAGACATGACCAGAAGGATAAAGGAAGAGTTCTCTTCCTGTCTTTCCCTATCCTGGTATGATTGCCACTGCTCAGCTCTATAAAGCACGGGAATTACCCCAGGATGGAGCAGCATGGCTGGAGTGCTGAGCATGTTTCCATAAACCCCACTTTGGGATGAGAATTCAGGTCTCTCCACGACCTCCTGATAAGTGAGGGAATGTGGATGTGGCCATTACTGAAGGGGTTTCAGGAGACCCTGCTGGGGGCAGCTGTGCTCTTGTCCTTGGAAGTTCTGAGACCCTTCCCAGGTGCTTCATGGTGTTGAAGCCCAAACCTCTTTGGAGGCCAAGCAGCCACGGGTTCAGGCTTTATCCACCACCTGCCCATGGCAGCAGGTCCCAGTGGTGCTCAGTTCACTGGAGCCTTCTCCCACTAGCAGGTCCCTGTGAGCAGTGGATTATGCCCTGGCAACAGGGACACTGCAACGTGCAAGCCCTGAAACTGCAGTGCCTGCTCTGCTACACAGCAAAATAGGTCGTGCATCAGCAAATGAAAAAGGACAGATGGTGTCTGCTAATACAGCTTAGTTTATGGCCTGCAGGATTAACTCACTAGTTTTCATGTCTGCAGAAAATAGGAAATGGGTGGGTCGGCTGGAGGAAACGTGTGGTGTGCCCAGCCCTACCTGTGCTGTGGGATGCACCAGCTGGAGAGGATGTCAGAGATCCTGTGAGGTTTTGAGATGTTGCTGAAAGGCTGCCAGTGTCTTTTGGGGGCTCTGGACACTGGAGATGGTGCCTTGTACCAAGCCTTCCTGTCCACCTCAGATTCCCACAGTCCCACTGCAAAGGTCAGCGCTGCAGGGATTGATGCTGAGCCAAGCAGGGATCTCCAGCAGAAGCAGGGACACCCTCTGTGGTCTCTGCTCTAGTAGCTCTGCAGGAGGAGCCCACAGCTTCTTGTCCTCTGCCAGCTGCAGGACAGCCTCCAGTTCAGCCTTTTGAACTCCCAAGCACCCACGTGTCTGCAGGAGTAAGACCGAAAGCTGAGCAGAAGCCTCAGGTCTTTTCAATGCCTTCTCTGTGACACACTGTTCTCCTTTCCTGGAAACCAGGCCAGTGCCTCACTCTGTTCTCCTTGCAGAAATCCAAGCCCGTGCCAGAGCTCTGCCTTGTGCATCTGCTCTCTGAAGGGCAGGACAAACTCTTCCTTAGCTCTCCATGAGTGCTCCTCCTGAAGATTTCACCTTGATCTTGCTGCCTCTGCTGTGGCCAGGTTTGCTCATGTCCTGCAAGATGCTGAGCACCCCAAAAACCAGCTGGCATCAGGGAGATACTCCAGAGCCAGGAGCATGCCATGCCATCTTCGTGCCTCTTGGCCTTCTGCTGTCACAGGTGTTTGTCACCACCACCTTCTAACCACGGCCAGCCATCACAGGCACTGAGGTTTTCTCCAGTGACTAATTTGCCTGTGTTTATGCCAACATCAAACACTTAATTGTCTATTTAATGACTCGGGTGAGGAGGGAGCCTGGCTCCTTCCTCCTGCCCTAGGGATCTGGCCAGCCCTATCCTGATGGCAGCACCCTACAGTGCTAAACTTTCTCAGTTATAAATCCCCCATCATTAAGGGTAGCAGGTCACTGGTGAGTGACTTGAGAGCAGGGATCATTGTCACTTCTATCCCCAAAGCTGTTCAGTGACCGTGGAGGTGAATAAAGAACACGGAACAGCCTGTGCTTTTATTACAAAAGGAAATGCTGCTTTTTGTAGAGGGAAAAAGCATGTCAAATTACTATTATAAGTAATTGCTTAATGATCCCTACCTTTGCGTCATTGCTGAAGTACATCCGAGTCCCTTTTTAGGGTCTCTCCTCACTGCACGTGTGTCACCAACGGGGCCAAGCCCGTGGCCATCCCAGCTGTGGGAGCCCTGCAGAAGACAGGATGGGGGAGCTACGTGGGCACGAGAACCTCCACATTCCTCCCCCTCGAAATCTCCCCACCTCCCACCTCTTTTATCAGCTGCTGACAAGACTTGCCATGTATGTAGGCGGCTCCCAAGCTTACAAGATGATTCCCCGCTTCCCCCACCTCCCATCCATGAGAGGAGCGCTCCGGATTCCGGGGAGGGGGAGAGCAGCGTTCCTCCGGCTGCCGGCCTGTTCTGCAAGGCCTGTTCTGATGCTTTCAGAGAGCTCCATGTGGTAACTCTCTCCCAGGATTTCACATGACAGCCTCTTCCCCAGAAAGTCACAGCAGGGAGTGGAAGATTGCCGTGCGTGTGGGTGTTAGGAGGGAGCAGAGTGGGATGGGGAGATGGAGGGGAGAGGAGGTGTAACCACAGACTAAACCAGAACAAATTCTCTTGGAAGAGCCTTGCATTTCTGATCCCACAGCTCCCATCCCCTGCCTCTCCCTCTTCATTTAAAAGAACGTCAATCCTTGTTAAGTCCAGCAGAGAAAAGAGGAGTCAAGGAGAATCATCTCCTTCCTTCCTTGAACACATCTCAGGGGACCAGGAGAGGCAAACAGAACACGAACAAACTGGATAGAGGCAGAGATGTGCACACTGGGGAGAGCCCTCCCCAGCCCCGGGTGTCTTCCCTGGAGAGACATGAGCGGCCGTTAATGACATCTCCATCTGACAAATGATCACAGTGCATGTCATTATGACCCAGTGCTTCCCCGGGGCCCTGGTAGAAAATGACCCCAATGAGCTTCAGTTCTTGCAATCACAGCTGCTCCCCATGAACGTTCAGCGTCCCAAACGCCTCAGGCAAGCCAAGACTGACATCCCTGCTCTGGAGCTGGGACCCCTAAAAGAGGAGTAGGGAAGCCCACGTGCCCCTGGCACAACTCTCTGGGGCAGGGAGCTGGGGGGAGACCTCACACTGGACTTTTGAGAGGTTTAAAAAGACCTCTGTGCTACTTGGATCTTTCTGTCCCTCTCATCTTCCTCCAGATGCTGAGTGCAGCACATCTCAGGTGGGTCCCATGGTGGGTCCTCAGCAGAGAGACCTCTGAAACTGCCTTTTGGCATCCTGATGCACCTGTATCCCTTTAACAGCCCTGACTGTTCCACCTTAATGGGGCCAAAGGTCTCAACCTGCCCAGCAAAACCAGAGCTGAGTCATTCCCAAGTGTCCCTGTGCAAAAACAAGGAAGAATTCCTGGTGTAAAGAGCTATTCCCCTCCTTCCCGCATTTCATCAGCAAGCAGCAACACGAGCTGGGCTTTCTCTTAACTCCATCTGCTCTGCAATGTAGCCTGTCCCTCTTGAATAACCCCCCCAATCCTTGCTTAGGAAAAGTGGGAGAAACCCCCGAGGAGACCCACGGACTTCTAGAGAAAATAATCAGTGCTGTGGAGAGGTTCATACCTCAGTGCCTGCATTCCGGAGATTTAAGGCAGATTGGATCTTTGTGTATCCTGAAATAGCTGTTTCAACACCCCCTGTGTCCTGCAGGCCAGGGGGGAGAGCAACAGGCAGGTATTTCCCATACCTGTGATATTTGGGTAACCAGGAAGGGGGGAAAGGTAGGAAAAAGGGATATGGTAGGAGCTGGAATTTCAATTTTATCAGCTGCAAACTCAAACCGATGTGTTTCCTGCCGGTCTCCCACCTCAGTGATATTCCCAGCCAGGCACACCCCAGTTCCTCCATGCAGTCTGAGTTTTACAATTCCTTCCCAGCAGCCCAGCCTCTGCTTTCACTCTCTGAATTACCAAGGGGAATTTTCATTACATCACCAGAGGTTCTTCCTCCTCGACAGCGACAGAGCTGTCGCTCTTCTTTGCAGGGGGTTTTTGGGGTGTGGGCGTCGAGGGTATTTCTCTGGAAAGAGAAATACCTCCCAAAAGCAGGTCCACCCCAGCTCAGCCTCCCCCAGCGGCTCCATCCAGCCTGGCAACGGCACTGGGGAGTGTGGGGTGGGTTCAGCCGGTGTCTGAACAAAGCCTTCTCCCTGGAAGCTTTCCTGGGGGATACGGCGCATCCAGGCAGCTTTAAAAGTCGCCTGTGCCAAATCCAGCGGGGTCGGAAGTCAGCAATCTTCCAGCTTTCTGCCAGCGTAAGCAAAAGCAAATTTGCCTATTGGAGCTGGGATTTGCAGAATGATTCGCTGCAGCGTTTGAATCCCCCACACGCCCCCCCGTTTCTGTATCTTTTCTGTTTGTTTGTTTTGGGTTTATCTTTTCAAATATCCCCCAGTTTAACGGTCAGGCTGGTGGCAGCTTCCCCGCAGCTCCGGGGAGGGGCTGATCTGATCTCACTCCCAATCCGGTGACTTTCCAATCAGCCTCCTTCCTTCCTGGCAGCTCGCATTCCTGCCCTCTCCTTCCAGTTCCTGGCTGTTTGGTTTGGGGTTTTTTTTTTTTTTTGCTTGGGTTTGTTTTGGTTTTTTTTTTAAATCAAAACAAACTACCGGGTTCAAACTGCTAGTCAGGAACACGCTGAGCAGGAGCCTTTGCTCCTGGCAAGGGCTGTGGAAACTCGCCATGGAGAAACACCTCAGCCACAGAGAACTTGTTTTTAAGTAGCTGGGATGTCTGGACCACAGCAGGGTCTGAACAGTTGGAAATGTGTGTCTCAGAGTTCCGTAAAAGCAAGGAGTTCCCTCAAATATATAACCACTGGCAAGAGCTCTGCACAGCTTGTGAGCAGGGAAGATGGCTCTGAAGTCATTTGGATTTACGCTGGCCTCCCCCAGCCTTGTTGGTATCATGATTCCTCATATAAGGCAATGAAAAGTCATTTCTGCCCCATCAGCCCATCCTTTCCCAGGAGCTCCAGATGGTTTTGCTCTCTGTGTCTGCCCTACTGGTAATTCAGGCCTGTCTCACATTAGTTTTTTAGCTGAAACCTTCCCACAATTAGAGTCTGTGCTTCTGCGCTGCAGAGGACGTAGGGCTGAGCTGGCAGAGCGCTGTCTGGGAGATCCGTCCCACACATGAGTCCTGTTCTCTGTTCTCTGTTTCAGTCGAGAGTGTGATTTTTTTCTAGTGAAATCATCAAAGCAAGACAGTCCCTGCTACAGATGGGCAGCGACAGCCATTTGAAGATGCCTCATACCTGGCTTGTCTCAGACAGGAGTAGTTAATTTCAATATAATCAATATAATCAATATTTTGCACCAATAAAACATCTCTCCCTTCATCTGGCCATCCTTTCCCAAGGAAAAAGCTCCTTCTCCTCTGGGAGCTCCACACCACAAGTGTCAGGGAAATCTTCATGCCTGCCCAAGGACCACAGCTCAGCAACTCACTGCTCAAGGAAAATGTGACAGACACCCTCAAAGCATCCCTGCTTCTCTTGGAGCAGAGCTGTTTGGCCCTTGCCAAATCAACTTGCTAATTAAGAGGGTTTTTGATCCCAGGCAGGAATTTACCACTCTGAAGCCAAACCTAAGTGTAGTCCAAAGCTTCCAGCTGGTCCAAAGCCCTGTGTACTGTGGCAGGACTGTGAAGAGCTGACAAATGCCTGGGGAATGCAATCTCTGGGGAAGGACATCTTGGGATAAGCAGTAAGGAAGGGTGAATGGCAGGCACAGAATTAATGGAGAAGGTGCACAGGGAAAAGCAGGATTGCTGTAGGGTGTTTAGGAGATGAGGAAGCTTCATTTGTGCAGGTGATTTACTCCTTCTGTGCCTTCATTCACCCATCAGACAGGGAAGCGGCATCATTATCCCTGCTGTGCCGACAGATCTGGGGTCTTTGCCTACAGCAATCCAGCAGCACCAGCACAGAAATCCTGGTTCCTTGTTCCCATCCCAGCTCCTGGAAGAATCCCAGTAATAATAATCATGCAAACAGGCTTTGCTGAGAGAGATGATTTCAGGAATGGTGATAGCTGGGAGACAGTGATGGAGCCACACTTGTCACATGAATAACCACAGTCTGTCCAGTCAGAGCTGACAGTCTAAGGCAAGGCAGCTCCTTCTGTGCTGATTTAAGAGGCTCTTCATAGACACAGCAGATCTTTCTGCTTCACCTCCCCTGCATAATAAGAAGCAGCATCCTTCCTGTTAGTTTATCTGCCTTTGGATGGGATAAGAAGCTGGCAGACCCCTCTGGGCATGGGGGAACCCTGGAAGGAAGTGGAGGCTTTTAACTTTCTGCATGAGTGCAGTGAAAATGTGGGTTGTGGTTTCAGTGCCTCCAAACCTGGCACTCAGGAAGGAGTTCCCAGCTGAGTAAATCTTTATGTGATCTTCATAAACATTATCAAGGAGGGACACACAGTGAGGCACAAGGTGCCCCACTGGGATGGATGGATTTAGAGGGGGCTCCTGAGCTTATAGACACCTCTCTCTAACAAGAGATATTAAAAAAAGAAACTGCCCTAGGGTTTTTAAATAGAAACCTTTTTTTTCTGCACAATGCAGCCAGAAGATTCCCCCCATTCCAGGCCCTGGGTGAGGCAGCCATGGCAGTGCTGAGTGAGGGATGTTGAGGAGAAAATGGAAAGCTGAAGGGAGAGTCATAGAATAAGCTGAGTGGGAAGGGTCCCATCGGGATCAACAAGTCCAACTCCTGGCTCCAAACAGGACACCCCAGGAATGCCACTATGTGCCTGCGAGTGTTGTCTGAAGGGAGATGGGACATTGAGGGAATCGGGGTGCTGAGGGGAGCCATGGACTGAGGGGGGCCAAGTGTCGAGAGAAGCCAGGGCGCTGAGGGGAAGTGGGGAGCTGAGGGGACACAGGAGTGTTTAGAGGACATGGGGACACTGAGGGAAGCCAGGGATGCCGATGGAACCGGGATGCTGAGGAGAGTCGGATGCTATGGGGAGGCAGGCGCTGAGGGGAGCAATGGCGCTGAGGAGAGCCGGGGGCTGAGGGGAGCAATGGCGCTGAGGGGTGCAATGGCGCTGAGGGGAGCCGGGCACTAAGGGGAGCCAGGCGCTGAGGTGTGCAATGGTGCTGAGGGGAGCAATGGTACTCAGGGATACAATGGCGCTGAGGGGAGCCGGGCACTAAGGGGAGCCAGGGGCTGAGGGGAGCAATGGTGCTGAGGGGAGCCAGGCGCTGAGGGGAGCAATGGTGCTGAGGGGAGCCAGGCGCTGAGGGGAGCCAGGCGCTGAGGGGAGAT